AGCACTTTAACAATAGCACTGTATATAAGCACTTTAACAATAGCACTGTATATGCGCACTTTAACAATAGCACTGTATATAAGCACATTAACAATAGCACTGTATATAAGCACTTTAACAATAGCACTGTATATGCGCACTTTAACAATAGCACTGTATATAAGCACTTTAACAATAGCACTGTATATAAGCACTTTAACAACAGCACTGTATATGCGCACTTTAACAATAGCACTGTATATAAGCACTTTAACAATAGCACTGTATATAAGCACTTTAACAACAGCACTGTATATAAGCACTTTAACAACAGCACTGTATATAAGCACTTTAACAATAGCACTGTATATAAGCACTTTAACAACAGCACTGTATATAAGCACTTTAACAACAGCACTGTATATAAGCACTTTAACAATAGCACTGTATATAAGCACTTTAACAATAGCACTGTATATAAGCACTTTAACAACAGCACTGTATATAAGCACATTAACAATAGCAATGTATATAAGCACTTTAACGCAAGAAGCACAGAGGAGAATAAAGCACCTTAAAATATAATATCTACATATTTAATATGTCCCAAACAAAATAGCCATCCATAAAACCCATACCCTCCTAAAAACCCTCTACCTTGCCACTCCAAACTGGGCAGACATTTATTCTTGCGTCATAGAAAACGGGTTTACTTATACGCGTTTTTCACCGTTTCATCTCCCCCCACACATTCATAAAAAGCGGTTGCCGCCTCTTCCTTCCTATATATCCGATAAAGGGGAACAAAGAAGCTGCGGGGATGAACACCACCCCAACCACTTCAATAAATAATAACCACATCATTTAAGTGCGCAGTGAAAGTATTCAAATAAAATAAATTTTCATTATCCCTTCCTCCCCCTTCGCCTTCCATCCTCAATCCTATCTCTAAGACATCCACCGACCACATTTAAATTTTTTGTTGGGTGATTCAGATCCCCTCTGCTGATGAGAATGTGGTTCATCTCCTTGGTCTTTCTGTTGATGAGGAGGTGGTTCATTCCTTGGTCTTTGTTGATGAGGAGGTGGTTCTTCCTCTTGGTCATCTGTTGATGAGGATGTGGATTCTTCTCCTTGGTCTTCTGGTGGATGATGAGGTGGTTCATCTCCTTGTCTTCTGTGATGAGGAGGTGTTCATCTCTTGTTCTTCTGTGAGGAGCAGGTGGTTCATCTCCTTGGTCTTCTGTTGGATGAGGAGGTGGTTCTTCCTGGTCTTCTGTGATGAGGAGGTGTTCATCTCCTTGGGTCTGCTGTTGATGAGGAGGTGGTCATTCTTGGTCCTTCTGTTGTGAGGAGGTGGTTCATCTTCCTTGGTCTACTGGTTGCTGAGGAGTGGTTCATCACCTTGGTCTTCTGTTGATGAGGAGGGTGGTTCACCTCATTGGTCTTTGTTGATGAGGAGGTGGTTCATCTCCTTGGTCTTTCTCGTCCTCAAAGTCCTGTATAACTCCTCTGCATACTCTGTGTCATCGTTCTCGGAGCTGAGTCCGATGATGGCAGAGTCGTTGAGGAATTCCCTGGCGGGACAAAACCCGACCGTGTAGTGTCTGAATTCCCTGGGGGGCCCCCACACTGCAGGTCAGGACCTCAGACTCAATAGTCCCTGGTTCTCAAAACTGGGGTTGTCTGTCGAGGTAGTCAGGATCCATGGGACAGGTGGTCTCTCTCTTGTCTCTCTCTGGGTCTCTCTATGGTCTCTCTCTGGTGTCTCTGGTCTCTGTCTCTCTCTGGTTCTCTCTCTGGTCTCTCTCGTGGTCTCTCTCTGGTCTCTCTCAGGTCTCTCTTTGGTCTCTCTCTGGTCTCTCTTGGTCTCTCTCTGGTCATCTCTCACAGGGTCTCTCTCTGGTCTCTCTATGGTCTCATCTTGGTCTCTCTCTGGTCTCTCTTGGTCTCTCTCTGGTCTCTCTCGTGGTCTCTCTCTGGTCTCTACCTTGGTCTCTCTCTTGGTATCTCTCTGGTCTCTCTCTGGTCTCTCTCTGGTCTCATCTCAGGTCTCTCTTGGTCTCTCTCCCTGGTCTCTCTCTGGTCTCTCTGAGTCTATCTCGTCTGGATCTCTTGGTCTCTTCTCTGGCCTCTCTCTGGTCTCTCTCTGGTCTATCCCTGGTCTCTCTCTGTCTCTCCCTGATCTCTCTCTGGTATCTCTCTGGCCTCTCTCTGGTCTCTCTCTGGTATCTCTCTTGTCTCTCCCTGGGTCTCTCTGAGTCTCCTCTCGGTCTCTCTCTGGTCCATCTCTGGTCTCTCTCGGTCTCCTCCTTGGTCTCTCTCTGGTCTCTCCCTGGTCTCTCTTGGTCTCTCCCTCGTCTCTCTGGTATCTCTGCTGGTCTCTCTCTGGCCTCTCTCTGGTCTCTCTCTGGTATTCTCTGAGTCTCTCCATGGTCTCTCTCTGGATCTCGCTTGGTAACTCTTGGTCTCTCTCTGGTCTCATTGGTTCTCTCTCTCTTCTCTGGTCTCTCTTATCTCTCTGGTCTCTCCCTGGTCTCTCTCTGGTCTCTCTCTAGTCTCTCCCTGGTCTCTCTTGGTCTCTCTCTGGTCTCTTGGTTCTCTGTCTGGGCTCTCTGTCGGTTCTCTCTCTGGTTTTCCCTGGTCTCTCTTTGGTCTCTCTCTGGCACCCTGGGTCTTCTCTTGGCTCTCCCTGGTCTCTCTTGGTCCTCCCTGGCTTCTATATGGTATCTCTCTTGTCTCTCTCTGGTCTCTCTCTGGCCTCTCTCTGGTATATCTTGGTCCTCTCCCTGTCTCCTCATATGGTCTCTCCCTGATCTCTCTCTTGTATCTCTCTGGACTCTCTCTGTCTCTCTCTGGTCTCTCTCTGGGTCTCTCTTGGTATCTCAATGTCTCTCCTGGTCTCTCTTGGGTCTCTTGGTCTCCTCTGGTCCTCTTGGTCTCTCTGGTCTCTCTCTGGTCTCACTCTGGTCTCTCTCGGTCTCTCCCTGGTCTCTCTCTTGGTAATCTCCATGGTCTCTCCCTGGTCTCTCTCTGGTCTCTCTTCTGGTCTCTCTGGTCTCTCTACTGTGTCTCTCTCTGGGTTTCTCCCTGGTCTCTCCCTGGTCTCTCTCTGGTCTCTCCCTGGTCTCTCTCTGGGACTCTCTCTGGTCTCTCCTGGTCTCTCTTGGTCTCTCCCTGTTCTCTCTGGTCTCTCTCTGGTCTTCTCTGGTCCTTCTTCCCCCGGTCTCTCTCTGGCCTCTCTCTGGTCTCTCCCTGTCTCTCTTGGTCACTCTCTGGTCTCTCTCTGGTCTCTCCCTGGTCTCTCTCTGGTCTCTCTCTGGTCTCTCTATGGTCTCTCCCTGGTCTCTCTTGGTCTTCTCTCTCTGTCTATCTCTGGTCTCTCCTGGTCTCTCTCTCGGATCTCTCTCTGTCTATCCCTGGACTCTCCTGGTCTTTCTCTGGTCTCTCCCTGGTTCTCTCTCAGGTCTCTCTCTGGTCTCTCCCTGGTCTCTCCTGGTCTCTCTCTGGTCCTCTCCCTGGTCTTCTCTTGGTCTCTCTCTGGGTCTCTGTAGGCTCTCCCTTGTCTTCTCTCTGGTCTCTCTCTGGCCCTCTCTCCTGGTCTCTCTCTGGGTTGGTTGGAGGAGGCGGGTTGATGCACGAAATGAAAAGCTTCCTTCTTGGAGAATTATCAGGCTTGCTGAAGGGTGAGGATTGACAGCTCCTGTTGCGGCTGGACTCTATCGGACTCGAATGGTGACTGGGACTGGACTCAAATGGACTTGAATGGGACTCGAATGGACTGGACTGGACTGGACTGGACTTGAATGGACTAGAATGGACGGGACCTGGATAGGGTGGACTAGACTGGACTCAGACTAAGAAACCTGATACAAATAAAGCCATGATACAACCAGATACCACCTCAGATTTGGAACAGTCTCAGACTCAGAGAAGTCGCTTCATGGTCTCAGAGTTGGAACGTCTCCAGACACAGAGATGTCGCTTCCTGTCTCAGAGTTGAACAGTCTTCAGAATCAGAGATGTCGCTTCATGGTCCTCAGAGTTGGAACAGTCTCAGACTCAGAGGAAGTCGCTTCAATGGTCTCAGAGTTGGAAACTTCTCAGACTCAGAGAAGTTCGACTCATGGTCTCAGAGTTAGAACAGTGTTCATGACTCCAGAGAGTCGCTTCATGGTGTCAGAGTTGGAACAGTCTCAGACTCAGAGAAGATCGCCTTCATGGTCTCAGAGTTGGAACAGACTCAGACTAGAGAAGTCGATTCATGGTTCAGAGTTGGAACAGTTCGACTCAGAGAAGTCGCTTCATGGTCTCAGATTGGACCAGTCTCAGCACCAGAGAAGTCGCTTCATGTCTAAGAGTTAGGAAACAGTGTCAGACTCAGAGAAGTCCGCTTCATGGTCTCAGAGTTGGAACAGTCTCAGACTAGAGCGGTCGCTTCATGGTCTCAGAGTTGGAACAGTCTGACTCAGAGAAGTCGCTTCCTGGTCTCGAGTTAGAACAGTGTCAGACTCAGAGAAGTCGTTCATGGTCTCAGAGTGAAGAACAGTCTCAGATCAGGAGAAGTCGCTTCATGGTCTCAGAGGTTTAGAACGCTCAGCACTCAGAGAAGTCGCTTCATGGTCTCAGACGTGTAGAACAGTGTCAGACTCAGGAAGTCGCTTCGATGGGTCTCAGAGTTGGACCGTCTCAAGACTCAGAGAAGTCGCTTCATGGTTCAGAGTTAGAACAGTTCAGACTCAGAGAAGTAGCTTATGGTCTCAGAGTTGGACACAGTCTCAGACTTCAGAGAAGTCGTTCATGGTCTCAGAGTTCGAACAGTGGTCAGACTCTAGAAGTCGCTTCATGGTCTCAGAGTTAGACCAGTCTCAGACTCAGAGAAGTGCTCATGGTATCAGCTTGTTGGAACAGTCTCAGACTCAGAGAAGGTCGCTTCATGGTCTCCAGGTTTAGTAAACAGTTCTCAGAATCAGTGAGAAGTCGCTTATGCTCTCAGAGTTAGAACAGTCTCAGACTCAGAA